GAGCCTATCACAAGGATTTAGCCACTGAAATCACCACCCAGGTCCATCCCCACTCCCAGGGCCACTCTGGCAGCCATTTTCTGAAGCCAGAAAACCACCGGCTTCGAAAAAAGCTGCGCTGAGTGGCCCTGAGAGCAGAGATGTACCCGGGGCGGCAATTTTGGTGGCTAAATCCTTGTGATAGGCTCTGGATGCAGCCTGGTTTAAAATGTAAATTGGATCAGGTAATGCAATTTAATTAATTGTACGATAAGCTTCAAAGATTTGAGTAGAAGTTATGCAGATTGTCTGATGATAGTAGTTGACTTCAAGAAATTATAAGAGAGTTTAGGGTAAGGCAACAGAATTTTTTTTTTGGTCCTGTTGATACTGATCTCCTAGTTACAAGGAAGGCTTCAAGTAAAGCTGCCAGTTGAAGATGAAGACATTTCAGGAAACAAGACTTTAGTCTCCACCCTTTACATTAATCTTATTTCTCTTGCTGTCCTATTGATCAATCGGGCAAACTTTCAATTCTTGCACTCTGCTTTTGCCAGGTATCCTTCTATAGAGGGATGTGAAAATATACATGTCATAGTAAAAAAAAAAAAATTTATATAGTGGTGTTGTAAATTCATACAGACCTATGCAAATTTGTGTGCCAGTTGACTTAAATCTCAGATTGTGTTTACTGCCACAAGTTTTCTGAAATCTCCCTTGGAGATTTTGCATCTCTATTAAGGAGGTCACGGGTATGGATTTGTAGGGTTTAAGCAGAGCAGTGGAGGACAAGGGGTCTTGGAGATGTCTCCTCCATAGGGTTGCCATGAGTTGAGATCAACTCAAGGGCAATTAACAACAAAACTGAAGTTGAAAAAACATTTCAGGGAAATAATTTTCTAAATATATATGAATGCATATTTCAAAGCACCTCGAGACTTATAAAAATATAATCTTCCTTACATAATCATCACTCTCCCACTTTGCCTCATATTTCTTTCATCAGATTAATTTCTTGATTTAAAATAACAGCTATTTTTTAGTGTAATAATGTATAAAAATCCAGATGCTCCATGGGGATTTCCTGCCAGCATTACTTAGCATTTTGACTTTGCTTTTCGTGTTATAATTAACAGCTTCAGAAAATGACACAGGCTCCACACTAGAACTGTAAAATACCTCATCACAAAGCTGGTGACCTGGTTATACATTTTAAGATATCATTCATTATTGTTTAAACATTATGTGTACAAGGTACTGCAATAGAGTGTTAATGTTTGTAAAATATAGGCTATGGATATTAGAAATTTCATTACATCTTGACATTTCCCATTATCTCCTTACATGTAGTTACAAAACCTCAAGGCACTTTTCACTGTGAGCCCAAAAGATTTGGCAAATTCTAGCAGAATTTTTCAGTGGCTAACTAATAACACTGTTATTACATAAGCATAAACACAGTACTCTGCTATCCTATATACTCCTTGGAAGTCAGTCCCATTAAAACTGGTAGAGCTACTTCTGAGGAAAGGTGGATTGCATCTGACTGCAAGAACCAATGAGAGTTAATCAGTTTAAATCCCAGTGGTTCAGCTTAACTGGGTTATAGATGGAATTGATTAAATGCTCAATAGGTAGAAAACATTGCTGTGTCCTTCATAGAATAATAAAGAACTATAGGTTGACTGCATGAATTGAAAAGCAGTTACCATTTCAGCCAGATGGACAGGAAACAAATTCTGAATCCACAATGAATACTGGAAACATATTGGTGAATTCTAAGGATGGACATTCCAATATATCTATGTGGGATCATCTTTTCCCAGTGAAAAGGTAAGCATTGACCTGCAAAAGTGAGTGCTTCACCTTAATGTTTTCACTTCACAAAAATATTTCTATCAAAATTTTCATGCACTGGGGCACAGCTGCTGAAATGGTCTGGTGAGTATTTTGAAAAGACTGTCCTATTTTTAAAACATTTTTATTTAATGTGTATCCACCCTTCCCCTAGAATGGATTTACATTTGAAATGTTACCAGAGTTCTTATTTATAATGTCAGAAGCCTTCCCCTGAGAATCAACTACAATTCCTTCTCAGATTAATGCAATTTAGGTTGTGAATTCTAAAAAAAGTCTGGCATCCTGTTGGTGAATTTTGAAGGCATAAGTAAATATCCTAGAGTAGGGGTAGGCAACTTTTCCCCTTTAAGGGCTGAGGGACTTCAGCTCCCAGAATCACAGGAGCTATTGGTCAACATGGGACTATTGGCCAACATGGTTGAGGCTTCTGGGAGCTGAAGTCCCTCGGCCATTAAAGGGGAAAGGTTGCCTACCCCTGCCCTAGAGACATCACATCCTGTCTGATCTTGGAAGCTAACAGCATCAGTCTTGGTTAGTACTTAGATGGAAAACCACCATCAAATACCAAGTACGGTAGGCTATATTTCAGAGGAAGGAACTAGCAAAACTACCTCTTTGATTCTTTGCCTAAGAAAACCCACAAAGTTGACCTGCAATTTGAAGGCACATACACATACACAAACACAAGTCAAATGTACACTTCTGCAGGCTTCATTTTTGGTTGTTGCAGATGTTGGCATTTCACTACTGACCATACAAGAATCAAAGTCCCCACCAAACCCACTTAGGTGACCAAGACAGTGGATTCAAGAGAACATCAAATATAAACAGACAAACTTTAAAAATGGCAAAGAACCCTCAATCCCTATGGTAAAAGAGCGGGATGGGGAACCACATCTGTTTCACCAGGGACAGAAAAACCCAAATAAAATTGTTTTTAAGAAATTACGATAAAAAATTAAAACAATTAAAATAATCTAGCTAAAAACAGTATAAAATTACATAAAACACACAAAAGTTAAAAAGTTAATGTAAAATTGGAGAACATGTTGATTCTGAACACAGTCTGAGCCTCTGCCTATGGATTTGTTTTCATCAGTAGAAGTGAGTTGAGCTCCTAGGTCTTTCACACTAAGTCCACTCCCAGCCTTTTCATACCAACCTCTCAGTTTAAGTGATAACGGCAAGTAGATCCTACCTGCTATCCACTTCTGTGCTTTATTGAAGATGGGTGAAAAAGAGGGTTAGCAGTAGACATTATCCTTACATTAATTAAAAGGTCATTCCTCTGGAAATCTGGAGAGGGGCAAGTGATTCTGTTTTCCATGAAGGGGAAAAAAGGATGAATTGATTGGTTCACAGTAAAAAGAAAAGCACATTGTGTGTGTTTTTAAAGAGCCATTTGATGGATTTAGCTGATTGCTATGCAGCCCATTGTCAGTGTAAGCTGAATTCATCTATTGCATTGCTCTGTCAAGCAGGCAGACAGCCTGGTGCAATTCTGATGGTTGATAGGATGGAACTTCTCCCATCTGCCAATTATGGTCGACCTTGGGGAATCAGCAGACTGTAGCCTCTGTACTTCCAAGCTAACTCCTTAATCACTTGGTTGATGGAGGAAATCGAACATAATTCCAAGGTACTCCAATACAAGAATATTTTCTACTCTAAATGATGCCCCCCAAGT